ATTCGCCTTCATAGCGGATAAATCAATAATACCTATATAAAATAATGTAAGAGAGTCAGATTGCATTCATTTCATCCCTGAGAGAGACGCATACAGTCCAGAGACTGCTTCCTTTCCTGTAAAACCATGACATCAGTAATTGTTTATTGCTATATTTTTGTTAATTTCATAGCAAAAAATATAAGGAAAGCACTATTACCTTGTCAATACACAGGCGAAACTTTTATGAAGAATATTTTTTATTTAATTTTCGTTTAGGCCTTCGTTTTTCGTCAAATGAAAGGTATATTTTTAAAAGAAGATTTTTTAACCAAATTTGTCGACAGCCAAAATAAGTTTTAATCTACACCATACTTATATTATAAAATACATAGCTAATATTATTTTGTGCTATTGTGGAATATTTTTCGGTTCCTTTGTCTTCAACTTCGCGCATTAAAGTTTAGAGTATGCATCCCTCGTATCTACATGCAATTGTTAAAATTATGAATGCTGATTTTGTTTGGTCTCGGAAGTAATTTTGTAGTATTTAGGCTCCACCCTTAAGTTGTAATTTTTATACCTACTAAACTACCGTTGCCCCGCAGGTCTTTTAGTTTGTAATGTAAATTTTCCTCTTAATTAAAATTTTCTATTTAACAAATTACCAAGATTTTTGTAGTAAAGTGGGTTTTTTAACGAGTGTAATAGAGCACAGCATAGAAAACAATTAGAATTTCATTGTTCTTTGATCTGCCATCTTAAGCTAAAAAGCGGTAGCTTAGTTGAATAGTTTCTTTACAAGTTCCCTTAAATCGAAAAAAATAATTTAGGTACAGCTGGATTATTTTAATTTATTTAAAATTATTTTTTGTTTTTGAATACTATTTTTGAAAATCTTGTGTCGTATAACGATATAAAGCCATTTAGCTTAGTGATAATGGCATACCCTTTATTTAAAGACACTTAGTAAGACTCTAAATCAAGCTCGTGAAAATAATGTATAGCAAAATCACGCGAAATCATACGCCGATAAACACCATCTTTTAGTGAACCTTTACAATATTCGTACCTTATTATACTATTTAGCTAATTTTCTCCAATTATTCAGTGCTCTATAGGTAGCTTCTATTATCGCACATGCCTAATGGGCCCGTTCACTTTCATTTTTGAATGTGAATTAATTATATATTTATAAAGATATTAAACTCTTTTGTCTGATGGTACTTTTCCCGTTAAGATATTTTTGCTAGAAGTAAGGGAATTCCCATAAAATTCTTTCAGTGACTCATTGCGTCAGAAAATCCCTAATTCCGTTCACGTCTCGTATCGACATTTTTACATTAACAATTCATTTTAATCTCCGTTTAACACAACGGTGAAATCGGCTCTAAATGATTTGTTTACAACTAAGTGCTCAAAATAAGAAAATCAAAGTATGTGCTCAAAATTGATACAAGATAGATACATATGAATAAGCAATCTATGTAATTATGTATATCGTTGGGTGTGAGACACGAAGTGTGCTCTGTGGAAATTTATAAAATTTCTTTACTACCGAATCAAATCCAGGTTTCCAAAGCGATATTTTTGTACATCCACGGATGCAACAAGTTTTTTCGATAATGATATTACGAAAATAATTCGACTTTATTTAATTAATAATTACTAAACAATAGAGAGTTGATAGAGAGTTATTGCAAGTTCACTTAAGGTCAGTAACTATTAGTGCCGCTCTTATTTTGACATCTGAGCATGCGTAGATCATTAACTTTAACAAAGATTGTGCCTGTCCTTAAAAGAGAGTTATTGCAAGTTCACTTAGGGTCAGTCACTATTAGTGCCGCTCTTATTTTGACATCTAAGCATGCGCAGATGTTTATGTTCTAAAACTGACTTTATTAAGGATTGTGCCTGTCCTTAATTGTGGATGTTTAAGGGCAGCAGGTAGTGGCGACTTTATAGCTTTCGGTTGCGCTCGTCATTTAAACCTTTTAAAATTATAATTTATAATGCCTCTTTAATATTAGGTACTATTATATAATTTATTTGACTCTAATTACGATGTCACTATTAGTGGCTGGCTTTATAGAAATTTGCAATATCTCTCTAATAAGGATAGGCACAATCTTTATTAAAGTTAGTGATCTGCACATGCTTAGATGTCAAAATAAGAGCGGCACTAATAGTGACTGACCTTAAGTGAACTTGCAATAACTCTCTATTGCAAGTTCACTTAAGGTCAGTCACTATTAGTGCCGCTCTTATTTTGACATCTGAGCATGCGCAGATCACTAAATTTAATAAAGATTGTGCCTGCCTTAATAGAGAGATATTGCAAATTTCTATAAAGCCAGCCACCAAACTTTAAATTATAGTTAATCTTTTTTGTTGTCTATAATATTAAAGAGGCATTAGAAATTATAATTTTAGAAGGTTTAAATGACGATTATATTAAATATTTAATATTAAAAAACTTCTAACGGCAAGCGCATCCGAAAACTATAAAGTCGCCACTACCTGCTGCCCTTAAACATCCACAAATAAGGACAGGCACAATCCTTAATAAAGTCAGTTTTAGAACGTAAACATCTGCGCATGCTTAGATGTCAAAGTAAGAGCGGCACTAATAGTGACTGACTTTAAGTAAACTTGCAATAACTCTCTTATTAAGGACAGACACAATCTTTATTAAAGTTAGTGATCTGCGCATGCTCAGATGTCAAAATAAGAGCGGCACTAATAGTGACTGACCTTAAGTGAACTTGCAATAACTCTCTAATAAATGCCATATAAAACATTAATAAATCTCCTCCAAAAAGTGCACATTTTTGTCACCAGTTGGCGTTAAAGTCATGACGCACGGTCCCTATTCGCAAAATATTAAAACGGTTTCAAGATTCCCGCCCCCTAGATTTTGAATAATGCGAATTCGCAAGAAATTAAACTTTCGGTCTGTCAAAATTTCCATCTTGTCATTATTGTGATATTGACCAATGGGAACGACTTTCGCAATTCGCAACTACATGAACTAGCCTTAAAATTGCAGCTTATTAACGTAGATGGGATGTTTTTGTGCTAGCTGGGTATAATATTATATTATCACATGTAGTCCGTTGCCGGCTTAACCGTTCTAATTAAGTAAAACCTTTATTTAATAACAGTAATAACAATCAAACCATATAAATACTTTATTATAATAACATATTAACAAATAACCTAAAAACTATAATATTTATTGTATAATATTTTGGTCGTCTCAAATATTTTTTCATCAGGGTGTGAACTATTAAATGTCATCGTAATTTTAAATTTCTTTAAAATTTTTTGGAAGAAAAAAAGAAATATTTAGTGGTTTTTCATGAAAGTGTGAATTATTAAATATTTCTGTAAATCAGAATTTCTTTTATTGGTCTGAATTCTTTAAAACAAATAGTAGGTGAAACAAATAGTAGGTACACTTAAATGATTTTTCATCAGAATAAACTACTAAATGTGTCACACTTAAATAGTTTTTTATTAGAGTGAATTATTTTTAAATGTCGCTGTAAATTATATTTTTGTTTAAATCGTATAGAACAAATGTCACACGTAAATAGCACCGGCACACAAAAAAATCGATAAAGTATTTTTGCTAGAACTTCCCTCGATATAGAATTGTAAAAACAGGGAACCCCTAAGCACTTATACATTTTACGAACGTAACGAAGAACACCCAGCGGACCCGAAGTGAGAATTACGTTCGGGATCGGTTACGCGAACGAAGCTAATGATTGGCTGCTTCTAACGTGGTCCAGTTATACAAACCAAAAGGACGATAACTATTTAGTAGAGATGGATTTCCTGACTTAAAAATTGGACAGACATAGAGATAAACTGAATAAATACTTGAAAGGTTGCACAAATATATGTTTACATTCTTTTATTAAAAAACTGGGTATAGCGTTATCACCCGCTGTAATTTTAGCATTTAATTTATTGATAGCATTGATTATACCCACATCAATCAATTTCTGTATATTAATGTTAGGGAGGCAAAATGGCGCTGAAAGGAATCGTATTTAATTAGGAAAGGTCCCCCTTGAATGGATATAATAAAAATCGCCCTTTTGGTTTGTGTAACTGGACCATTTTAAAAGCAGCCAATCATAATTGTGTAATAACGGTGATCGTAACGAAGAATACCGACTCGACGCGAAGTGAGAATTCGGGTGGGATCAAAGGGAACATCGATGGTGAGAGAAATTTAAAAAAAGGGTTTTTGGTTTGGTGGTTTTAATTATAAATTATTAAAATTTAAGTGCTAAGGAGTTGCCTGTTTTTACAATTTCTATATCGAATGGAGTTCTGGGCAAAATACTTTACCGATTTTTTCTTATTTTTTTTTATGTGCCGGTGACAGTTATTCATCAGAATGAACTACTAAATGTCGATGTAACTCAAAATTTCTTTTATTCAGTATTCGCTTGACTTTCTAAGCGTGAGGAGGTCTGAAGAGTGAATAGTGTATAGTAGCAAAGTTCAAAAGATCAAAACACAACCGGTATGTCTTTATTAGAAATAAAAATTCGAAAAAGAGACAAAAAGTAGCGATAATTAAAATGTACCCACAGACGACACCTACATCATTTAATAGCACAGTGGACCAAGCCCACAATATGTACGGACAAAATATAATGCATCGACAACAAACAGTGCAACATAAATTTTCACCACAACAATTTCAGCATCAACAATATCCACAGCAACAATTTCCACAACAGCAATTTCCACAACAACAATTCATGAAACAACAAATCCGGCTTCACAATATCAGTTAAATTATAACACAAATATGACCAGCTCAATTATTACCGAATATGCCCAGCTCTATCATCCAGATATCAGCTATAACAAATCGGTCCATAACAAAAGACAATACCGAAAATCTCTCTAGAGAAGAACCCGAAAAGGACTCTGTAATAACTACCAAATTCAATTGGCAAGTACTTAAAAAAAGAAAAGAGCACATTTGTCTCCAGAGGTAAACAAAATAAACACCCCATTTACATGTGATACCCAGAATAGATATGAGCAACTCTCAGACGTGTCAGAAGATGATAATGACATACAAAGCACCAAAACTGATGATGCCTCTACAAATAAAACAAAGAAACAATCAAAAGAACCAAAAGAGCCCCATCCTCCACCACTATATATCTATGGAGTAACAAATTACAAAAAAATGGTAGAATATTTAGCAAACACACTGGAAGAAGAAAAATACCATTGTAAAAGTCCTTCAAATGACACAATTAAAATTAATGTAAGCACTCCAGATACTTATAGAAAATTAATTAAACCGCTACAAGACGATAAAGTGGTATATCATACATATCAAGTCAAGCAGGATAAAGCATATAGAGTAGTAATTAGAAACCTACACTATTCAATTCCAACAGAAGACATTTCAGAGGCATTAAAAAAAGGACACACAGTACGAAATATTTTAAACGTTAAACATCGTAAAACAAAGGAACATCTTCCCTTGTTCTTCATAGATCTAGAACCAAAAGAAAATAATAAAAATATTTGATGTATAATACTTGTGTAATATGAAAATTAACGTTGAAACTCCAAGAAAGAAAACTAGCATCGTTCAATGTACTAGATGTCAGTCCTATGGACATACGAAAACCTATTGTGCTAGACCATATGCTAATACACCAGCCAAATGCGCACTTTGCGAAGGAAGTCACCCGGCAAACTACAAAGGATGCGAAGTATACAAAGGAAAGCCAACAAATACGCCACGTTATAACATTAGGCAATCAAACATCAATATAAATGACACCAACCAATTCCCTCCAATCAATACCAATCAACCTCAAAACCTCAAAATTCATATTCTCAAATTCTTACACAAAACCAACAACCCATTAATATAATGGAACAACTAACCACTTTCTTAAATGAATTTAAGGCAGAATAATTTAAGCCAGAATAGCATGGTATTAAATATGCTTAGCACGGTTATCACTGTCATATATCATTAGTTGTCAGTTGTGACAGGCTTACGGTCGAAGTGCCTATATCAATTATTACTAGTTGTAATATATTAAATAAAACCTTTCTTCGAAAAGTGTTGCCTTCATATTACCACACTAGCTGTTGTCTGTTGTTCTCTACTCCAAACATTACATGGTGGCAAGCGGTTTTAAATCGCGTTGAAAGGTAAAATGAAAAGTGAGGTTTTGAGACTCACTTCTGAGTTATAGAAACGGTTCTATATGTGGATTTATTGCATTAAAAAGTTGAGTATCCCAGTTTAAAAAATGGCAGAAGGGAATGCTCCTCAACCGATGAGCTTTAAAGGAAATGTAGCCGCAAGTTGGAGGCTTTGGAAACAAAAATTCAACTTATACTTGTTAGCAAGCGGAAAAGAGAAAAAACCAGATGAAGTAAAGATCGCTATACTCCTAAATCTTCTTGGTGATGAAGGTAACTATTTACAATAATTTTAAATATTCAGACGTAGAAGAATCGACAAAACTAAGTGTTATCTTAAGTAAGTTTGAAAAACATTGTAATCCAATCAAGAATTTAGTTTATGAACATTATAAATTTTTTAAAAGAAACCAAGAAGTGGGTGAAACCATTGACGAGTTTGTAACAGCTCTGAAAGAACTCGCACGTACCTGTGAGTTCGCTGAAAAAGACATTTTAATCAGAGACAGAATTGTAATTGGTATTCGAAATCAACGTATACAGTCGAGATTACTAGAAAATAGTGAAATGAAACTTGAAGAAGCTATTCAGATTTGTCAGTCCATGGAAAATAGTTTGTTCACACAAAAACAAATTGGTGGTGAATCAGCATCAGTAGAAGCGGTTGAAGCGGCGTATCCTAAAAATAAACCATCAAAATATGCTTGTAATTGTGACACTTTCAGAAAGGGAAATGACAACTGGCGACAGGGTCGGTCTCAGGACTCCATTTGCCAAAGTGAACGATTTAAAATGAACAGGTTTGGTAGAGGTCAAATTCAAACGTCAGGTATGATGCAATTTTGCCTTAATTGTGGTACTGAACACCAACTAGGTAAGTGTCCAGCAACTAATCGTTTTTGTGGTCGTTGCAACAAAATGGATCATTTTAGGAAGTTTTGTAAAAATCGCGTTGTTCGTGAACTTTCAAACGATTCCTCAGATGAATTTGATCTTGATAAAATCAATATTAATAACGTAGATTACGAAACTGATAACAAAATTATTTGGACAATTATAGACTTTAGTGTAAACGCTATTGAGTGGTGTGAATTAATACAAATAGCTGGTCATAATTTAAAGCTAAAAGTAGATTCTGGTAGTCAAGTCAATATTCTTAATTTTAGAGACTTTATGAAACTAAAAATTAGTGTTGACAACATTTCAAAAACCAATTCCACGTTATCATCTTATTCGGGACATAAAGTTAGTGTGCGTGGAAAAATATTAATTGACTGTAAATATAAAAATATTCAGAAAATGTTAATATTTTACATTTTAGATTCAAACATACCGAGTTCAATTTTAGGACTGACCAGTGCTAAAGACTTAAATATTATAAATGCGGACTTTTCAGTAGAATCAGTGACTTCTAACAAAGAAATAGACTACAGATTGGGTCCACCCTTTGGTGATAGCACCCAAAGCAAATGGCGATATTCGTCTATGTTTAGACCCTAGGAAATTAAATAAATATATTAAACGGGAATTTTTCCAAATTCCAACTAAGGATGTTATATTTTCCCAGCTCTCTGGTTCTCAATATTTTTCACTATTAGATGCATCTTCAGCATTCCTTCAAATACCAATTGATCATAACAGTTCCCTTTTATGTACAGTGACAACCCCATTTGGCAGATATCGATATTTGAGGCTTCCTTATGGACTTTCCTCATCTCCCGAAATTTTCCAAAGGTGCATACTTGAAATACTATCTGGACTATCAGGAGTTGTAGCTTATTTTGATGACATTTTAGTATTTGGTAGTACCTTAGATGAACATAATACAAACCTAGAAAATGCATTGAAAAATATCAAAAATTCCGGTCTTACATTAAATTTAGAGAAATCAAAAATTTGCGTAAGGGAGTTAAAATTTCTAGGTCACATTATAAATCTAAATGGTATAAGCCCTCCCAATAAGGTGAAAGCAATCATTGATTTAAAAAGTCCCAAAAATAAAAATGATTTACAACGATTTTTAGGTATGATAGGATATCTATCAAAATTTATTCCAAATTTATCTGAAAAAACTAGTACTTTAAGAAAACTTCTTAGTAATAAATCAGAGTGGCTGTGTTCCCTAAATGAAGAAAAATCATTTAAAGAATTAAAATCTTTAGTTTCTACAGTACCGGTGCTAGCTTACTTTAACCCTAAAAAACCCATTATTCTATCGGTTGAGGCCAGTCCTTTCGGTTTAGGGGCGGTAATTCTACAAGATGGACATCCAATAGAGTTTGCGTCAGTTTCTTTGACGCAAACGCAGCAAAATTATAATCACATTGAAAAGGAACTATTAGCATTAGTATTCGGATGTGAGAGATTCCATTATCTTACTTTTGGTAATAATATCACTATTCAAACAGACCATCGCCCATTACTAGGCTTGCTTAAAAAACCTTTTGAAGACCTATCTCCTAGAATTCAACGCCTTACCTTTCGTTTATTGAGATACCAATTTGAATTAGTTTACGTTCCTGGAAAAAATCAACAACTTTCTGATACACTCAGTAGAGATCATATTAATACCTTCATCGACACATCCTATGTCGACACAAACCTAAAAATTTATTCAATTCTTTCAACCTCAGAAGAGAACGAAAATCGTTTAAAAATAGCAATTTCTACAGATCCTATCCTCCAAAAAGTAAAATATTATCTATTAAATGGTTGGCCATCACATAAAGGCAACCTACCTCCACTTTTGAAACATTTCTGGCAAATTAGACACGAAATATTTTGTCACAATGATTTAATTTTTTATCAAAAGAGGTTAATAATTCCTGACAGTTTGAAAGCAGAATTTTTAAACTTGATACACAAAAGTCATCAAGGAGTCGTTGCCTGTAAAAGAACGGCAAAAGATTGCATATACTGGCCTGGATTATCTTCAGACATAGAAAATACTGTTTTAAGGTGTATAACTTGCCAAAAATATTCCAAGACAAATCCAAGGGAGCCTCTCCATTCTCATTCAGTTCCGGAACTTCCGTGGCAAAAAATTGGAATCGATTTCAAGTCGTTAGGCACATTAAATTTTATAGTTATTATTGATTATTACAGCAAATTTATAATAGCAAATAAATTAACCAACAAAAGAGGAGAAACAGTCATATCATCATTAAAAAATGTTTTTACGAACCACGGAATACCCCAAGAAATATTTTCTGATAACGGCCCGCCCTTTAATTCTCACGAATTTTTGGAATTCACTAAAAAATATGATATAAAACATAATACTTCTAGTCCTCTTTACCCTAGATCTAACGGGATGGTAGAAAGGGCAGTGCAAACTGTCAAAGGTTTATTAACAAAGGCATACCAGGATGGCGAAGATCCATTCCTAGCAATATTAAATTACAATGTCACTACCAAGGAACAATTACCATCACCAAGTGAACTTCTTATGGGCAGAAGATTAAGAACTACATTACCTGTCCCGAAAACTCTTCTAAAACCTAATTTCTCAATGGAAGGTATAAAACAAACATTGGAAGACAAACAATGCAGACAAGATACTTACTATAACCATTCTACCCAGCAGTTGTCAAAATTGATACCAGAACAAAAAGTTTTGGTTCAGAAAGGTACTCGTGATTGGTTCCTGCAAAATTGTAAGGGAATCCGGCCCTAACGACTATATAGTTGAGATAGGAGAAGCTGAATATCGTAGAAATAGACAGATGATTAGACCACTACGAACATCATAAGTTACTAATGATCCAGAGTATCGGTTATCAAGCGGTCACCTTACTTAGATTTAAAATTTATATTTTAGTTTATTTTTTTTAAAAACCTTTTATTCTAAAAGTTGTTAACTTTCAGTTTTATTATTTTTATTTTTTTTTTGTAAAGAGCGTGTCATATATCATTAGTTGTCAGTTGTCACAGGCTTACGGTCGAAGTGCCTGTATTAATTATTACTAGTTGTAATATATTAAATAAAACCTTTCTTCGAAAAGTGTTGCCTTCATATTACCACATTAGCTGTTGTCTGTTGTTCTCTACTCCAAACATTACAATCACCAAAATTGCTTAATAATGGATAATCTGCGAATTGTTCTCGGGAACGCAAATGGGCTAAGCAACCATAAACTTGAACTCATCAATTTTCTTCAGATGCACAAAATCGATATTGCTCTAATATCAGAAACCCACTTTACAACCATAACATATTTTAAAATACCATACTATAATGTTTATCACGTATCTCACCCAGATGATAGAGCACATGGAGGTACAGCCGTATTAATACGCAATACAATCTCCCATCACGAACTCATCCATCACCAAAGTGATAAAATTCAAGCTGCAAACGTTAGAGTA